CCCCCCCCCCCCCCCCCCCCCCCCCCCATTTACATTAATTCTTATGAGGAAATTGGATTCACTTAACATTGTTTTGCTTAAAGTCACATTTTTCAAGAACATAACTACAACATTAAGTGAGGAGTTACTGTACTTGGTAAGAAAAATATTAGGCCCAATCGGGCTTTAAGGACTATATATAAATGTAGTAGAGAAGGGTCCAACTTTTTGCAGCTGGTGTTTGCCTGGAGGGTTGTATTTGTTTCTATTGTTATTATGGGTGTACCTTTGCAACAGGTGCATTTTGGTTAAATGAAATCTTAAAAAGTTCAAAATATGGTAGAGTGCAATAAAAAATTATGGAATAACCCTAAAAATGCAGTATAGCAGATGGTTGTGGAGTCCATGATTTTCAGTAAATCTCTACTAGAAAATGTTTTTTCCCTTGTTACTTAGCAGTTGATGGTTGCTACTGAATCACGGAAGAATAGGTTGATTATCTCTCAGGAGTGTCTTTTAAAAAAACAAGTATTCTTGTTAACCCTCCAATGCACTGATCAGCTAAACGGCATAGGGTTTTTTAATCCATGTTATTGGGAACAAAGCACATCTTTGAGGACAGAATGTCAGTGAGAGGGATTTTGAATAGAATGTCCTTGGACTGCAGTATGGTTGTGGTTTATATGGTCTGTGTAGATGCTTTAAAGTGTGTTTGTTTTGTTGTACGTTTGTTTTTAATCTTTATAAATAAATAAAGCATGTGGTTTTGAAAAATGTGTCTGCTGTCAGTTTATGTATTTTAGGTAGTGCCAAGTGTGTTTTCTCTTTGCATGTTTCCTTTGCCAGTAGCTCATAATCTGTTAAGTAACGTACTGAGTGGAAGAGTTTTTCCTGAGTTATAAAAAAGGGTGAAATCTTTCTCCTCTGCCACAATTTTTTATATATATTTGATATAGAAGTTTTATAAAGCTAGTCTCCTGACTGAAGTTACTTGAATGACTTCAGTCTACTGGAAAAAGAACAATGTTCATTCCTGTGTTCAAATGAACTTTATTTATACTAAACTTAAATTGTGCTTTTTTCCCTTTCTCCTATAAAACTCCTACCCTAGTCCCCACCACAGCCGCCAGCACTCCTGATGCTGTTGACAAATACTTGGAGACACCTGGTGATGAGAATGAGCATGCCTATTTCCAGAAAGCCAAGGAGAGACTCGAAGCCAAGCATCGTGAAAGAATGTCTCAGGTAAGTTATACTGGTTGTTCATAATTAAGGCTGGTGTCTTGTCAGATGGGTCACAGAATTAATGAATTCCTTGACTTCCTGTATTTTGGGGAAACTCATGTGTCTTTTACCTGCTGCTCTTCCAGTCTGCAGTGGAGTAGAGAGACCAACTGTTCCCATCTTCTTCAAGTATATGTCCCTGTGCGTGCTTGATCATAGGGTACGCACACGCGTGTGAACTCTCGACTGGAGAATGCAAAGCAGCATCTGCAGGCCTGCACCTGCTCAGAGCAGTACCTTATGCATCCAAAAAAGGGCATATGGGGAGGCGTGGGCATGCTGCCACTTAATTCCTTCTCAACTGCCTGCAACTCGATGGAACAATTGCATGTCCATTTATTCTCAGCTTCCTTTCACTTAGTTTATCATTCTAGAATTGTTTCCCTTATTTTTGTAGTTATTTTTATTTCTTCAGTCTTATACAGTTGTGTTTAGAAGAGAGTTCCTTTTTTTTTCCTGTTTTCTCTCATTTTCTTTGGTCCACTGCCTCTTGGGTTATTACAAAGATCCGGGTGTTTAAGCCCTGTGTGATGGGGTGGGTTGTGCACCATTAGGATGGCATCTCCTCCTGGTCACTCTAGGGAATAGCTCACAAGGTCGATGTCCCTTCCCGCAATTGCAAGCCGTCCTCCACCTCTCTTTCTGGGTCTGCAGCCCCTCTCTCACTCCATGAGCTGCTGCAGCCTCTTTAAGACTTGGCCCTCCAGCCAGGTTACTTAATGGTTTCCCCTTCTGGGGTTGGAAAGTCTCTTCTCGCGAATAGGCTCAGGCAGTCTTCCTACTCACTGCCCCCCAGTGCCACTTCCCCAGTGGCTGGTTGAGGAACCCAGACGCACCTTCTACTTCAGGTTCTGGCTTAAGGACCCTCTAGTCAGCAGTCAAGGTCTGTTCTACCCTGGTCCTTGCCTTGTTTCTCGGAGCCCTTTCCTAACCTTCTGGCTCTCCTTTCATTCTCTGGGTCTGCCAGCTTGAACACTCCCTCCTCCCAGGGAGCAACTGCAGGCTACATCTCTGCAGCCTCCAGACACTGCTCCCAGAGAGTTTCTACAGGCTTTCCCAGCAGCCCCCTCATCTGCCAATTTCCTGCCTCTATAAATCCAGCCCAGCTCATTCCTTCCCATCTAGGCTCCCTCACTTGGTCTGGGGAATTTTAGCTACTTGATTCCTCTCAGCTGTGGCCAGTTATATTAATTAGCCCCCTTCTTAGTCTTCATTAACCCTTTCAGGGCAAGTGTGGTGTGAACACTTCATCACATCCTGCCAGACCTGCCACAGGTCTTTTCCCCATAGTGACAGACATTCAAGATGTCTCTGCTGCCTCAGAGACATCAACTTCCCATTTAAGTTGAAGGTCTGTACAGGTCTTTAAAGGCAGATGTTGAAAAGATATAGAGGCTAGACTGAAGCTCCTTCTAATGGAGTGTTCATTAGTGCCAGAGGGGCTCAACTTTGGCCTCAGTATCCCAGGCCACCCTGCTGGCAGCAGCACCCTCGGAGGCTAGGGCTTCTAAAAAGACGACGACTCCTTCCAGGCACTGAGAGATGCACACCCTGTTACTATCATCTCCCTCTCTGGGCTCTGAGGTTAGAGAAGCTCCTCTATGAGCCTCACGGTACTGTGCTCACCATCTCAGCATCACCAGGCCTTGGTACCAACTCAGGCTTCTGGATACCATCCAGATTTATTTCCCTGGGAGACTTGTTTGTTCTGGAGGTACTGGACTCTCCCCTGCTACAGCCCTCTACCAGACCCCTTCCTTGGTACTACCTAGATGGCTGAACTTCCAGCCTTCAGTATCGGTACCTATTTCTGAAGCTTGCCCTTCAGTCCAGGGACCGAATCTTGGTCTCTGATGTCTCAGTACAGGGCTCTTTTTCGGCACCTTACCACCGCACCCCACTGAGGCAGTACTCTGGAGAAGCTCTTTAGGACCCTACCAGACGTCCTAAAGCTAGGGGCTATGACGATTCATGGGGATCCCCTACATCCCCCCTCAATTAGCTTGTTGGAATCCCTGGAGTCACCTTGGTGAACAATTTTATAAGGTTCCATATAGAAAGAGACCCTAATACCTGCCGGTACCGCATCATTCACAGGCACCAACTGACCGACCCTTCAGTACCACAGAATCTCCATCCAGTATCACGTGATCTCCCTCTGGTACCTTATGCCCCCTCAGCTTCAGGAAACACCCAGAAGCAGCAGGAGCCACAGATGGAGGGAAACTCACCCCCACCAGCTAAGTCCTCCACATGCTTGAGTAAGGAGGTAATGCCTCTACCACCTGTTTACACTGATGACTTTTGGGCCTTTCAAGACCTCATGAAATGCCTAGTGGAATCCCTCCAGATCCTGTTAGAGGAGGTCTAGGAGTCTCAACACTCGTTGATGGACATTTTAAATATCCTCTCTCAGGGAAAGGTTGCTGTCCCAATAAATGGGGTCAGTTATCGCCTTTTGCACAGTCTGACAGATACCTGGCCACTACATAAGACAGCAGATAAAAAATAGTATATTCTGGCCAAGGGAATGGAACATTTCTTTCCCACCCCACCCCCATTTCTTTGAAGATGGACAAGGCTAACAAAGGCAATCGACAGGCTGATTCCAGACCCTCTCCATATGATAAGGAATCCAAATGTTTAGACCTCCTGAGTTAGAAAAGCTATTTCTTGGGCAGCTCTCCAATTTTGTGTAGCAAACTACCAAGCCCTGTTGGTGAAATATGACTTTAATACATATTCCACGTTCACTCATTTCATTGAACATCTGCCACAGAACTAGAGGGAACAATTTCAGGTGGGTCAGCTGATAGCCAGAACCTTCCTCCAAAGGGCCCTAGATTTCGCAGGCACATCATCTAGATTCCGAGCCATGACCGCGGTTATGTAGAGAGTATCCTAGTTCCAGTCTTTTGGCCTCCTGAGGGAGGTGCAGAGTACAGCTGAAGACCTTCCCTTTGAAGGACCCAAGTTCTTCAGCTCTGATACGGACTTCTCCCTCCACACTCTGATAGCCTCGAAAGCTGCCTTATGGTCTCTGGGAATTTACATTCCTGCAACAAAGAATCAGTTTATTAGGTCTCCCATCGGAGCAATCTAGGCCACTCCATTACAACCAATAACAAGTGTTTCCCAGACCTTTGAACTTTCAGAGGAGGAGATCTAGAGCTCTGAAAAAGGATCCTCTCCCTTCTACAGCAAGTGCTGTTCTGGTCAAGACGAGTGTGGTACTTGAACCTCTTTTACCTCTCTGTGATAATGTCTCTTCTACTTCCTCTTAGGAAAGATCTCCTGTCACAGAACTCAGGAATCCTGATCCATCCCAACCTCTCCTCCTAGAACTTGAAATCATGGTTGCTAGATGGTTCTTGAGCATGGAGCTAACCTGTTCAGAGAAGGTCCAGTCAGTCGCAAGACTTGCATTCAGAAGTGGAAATGCTACCATTCCTGATTTTCTCTTCACTCTTCCCAAACCTCAGTGATTCCACATTCCAAAATCCTGGACTACCTTTTGGATTTAAGAATTCAAGGTCTATCTATGAGATCAATCAGAGTATATTTGGCCACTATCACCACCTTACACTCACCCATCAAAGGCTTCACAGTCTTTGCCACCCTACTACAACTAGATTCCTCAGAGGCTTATGCAGTTTCTGCCTGTATAGAACCCAGTCCCCCCAACAGGACTTCAGTTTGTTTATAATGCCCGGAGGAAGTCTCCCTTTGAACTGATGGCTACCTGTTCTCTCCACCTCTCCCTCAAGACTTCATTCCTCATAACCATCACTTCAGCTAGTCAAATGGGAGAGCTTGGCTTTCTCATGGCTGATTGTCCATATGCCATCTTCTGAAATGACAAGGTTGTACTGCATCCCCATCCTCGCTTCCTCCCAAAGGTCTCTTTGGAATATCACATTAATCAAGAGATTCGCCTACCAGTGTTCTACCCAAAAGCTCATGCCTCTAGAGAGGAGACCAACTAGACATCAGAGCAGCCCTTGCCTTCTACCTTGAAAACAGGACTAAGACCTTCTATTTGTACTGTAATTTTTCCATTATAACTTCCATTCTCTGCTCCTTTACCCTATTGGATTTTACTTCTTTTTTCTGTTCTCCTGTATTCCGCCTTTTCTCCTGCATAATGCAAACCCACTAACCTACAAGCATGAGTGAAATTTTCAGACCTATGAAGAGTAAGTGAAACAAGTTCACCCTACTTATTAATAAAGCACTATAGTTATGTTTGGCACTCTACAGGTAAACAAGACAAGTCATTGATACCTGACCCTTTGTTTTAAATTTACACAAAGCAAATATGACAGCAAACTATTAGGGCAGAGGGGTATATTCTTGGCTATTTGACCTATACCTCACCAGCAGCATAACAAATGGACATTATCACTTCCAAATAAAGAAAAGGAAAATTCTGAATTCCATTAAAACATTAAAGGACTGATCTCGTTTGCCTTTCAGAAAAATCACCATCTTAATTAAAATTAGTTTGGTGGCCAAGCTGATAGTGCTGCAAATTTGTCCATTGTACTAATACATAAGAGAGCCTAATTCAAAGCTGCCCTCAAGCTCTGGGTTGGACTAGCATGGGAGTGCCCCTTGTCTCCAGTAGATAAGCAGAGGTAGAGAGGAAATTATTCACTGAACTCCAATGGAAGTTTAGTAGTCTCATCTGAAACTCTTAGTAACAAGCTCTTGGTGAGACTGCAATAATGGAATATATTCTTTTATAATATATCCTGGTATAGCCTATCACACAAAGAGAATCTATCAATAATAGCATTCTTTAAGTGGCCAGCTGCAAGCAGTATCTTAAAATTACTGCATAGCCAAGGAGAGTAGCTTTGCAAATAAAAGGCAGTGTATAAAGCAGGGGCGGGCAAACTTTTTGGCCTGAGGGCCGCATCGAGTTTTGGAAATTCTGTGGAGGGCCAGTTAGGGGAGGG